CTACCCAGACCACTTCCTTAACTTGGTGCACATGTTATTTGATCTGCCCAGAATTTCTTTGTACATTTTGTTCACCTGGTAAACTACTAGAGCTTCTTGTGTAGGAACTAGATATCTTTATATCTGCAGGGTGCCTAGCCCACAGATTTTGTTGAATTGAATTGAGTCAAAGAAGAATTCTAGACTCATAATAAGTTTGCAGTTTGTCCGAGGGTAAATTTTTTCTGTTTATGTCTGATCTCATTCAGTCTACATTGGTTTGTATTTTCTTCAGTTCAGGGAAAAAAGATTTTATAACCAACCCCAAATTCAGGACAGAAAGCTCCTATAAATTCATGCAATAGTTTTTGGCTTGTTTGGTTTATTTTCTTTTGCCCAGCCTAGAATATAATATATTCTAAAAGGAAGATATGTTGACTGAAAACTCTATAGCATAACTTTTAGTTTGTTTTTTACTGTTGAGTGTATTTCACAAGACACGTAGCATCTGCTTCTCTCCGTTAAATATCACCTGATTTCCACCACCACTTGTGGTGAAAAAGTGTATTCATATATTTTAGTTTCTGTGAGAGAAAATGTTCTAACATCTATATGATAACTAACTTTATTATTAAGTTCTTGGTATATACCAGAGTATTCTAAGTGTTACTGATAATAACTCATTTAATGTGCATAATGGCTCTGTGAGGTAGCTTCTTTTATTATCCCCATTTTACTTTAGGAAAACAAGGCGCAGAAAGGTTAAGTAACTTGCCAAAGGTTACGTAGAGTAAGAGTCTGGATTTGAAATCAGAGCTTAGCTTGGCTCCAGAGGCTGTTCTCTTAACTACTGTAAGTAGCTTCCTCTCAAATATACATTACTTTTATCATCAACTTATGTTTTGTACATATGCACGGATGCTCATTGTAGTGTGATTTGTAATCATGAAATTGAAAATAATTTCAGAGAAACTTAAATAATGGCATATATGTACAATGGATAGTTATTTTTAAATCACATTTTACAGCAAACTATTAATATTTTTTTCTAACGTTTAAACATGAATTTGAAGGGGTGACGTAAGATTATGAATTTTTTCTTTATAAATTTTGTGATGGTTTCAAATATGATTTATATTATTGTTAAAAACAAGAAACAGGCCCCAAATGGAGTTCCTTATGCTAAGGTCATTAGCACCAAACGGAGACAACTTATAGAGTTTCAGCTCTCCCAGAAATGGCTTCTTAAACCATCTGGAATCAGGGTTCAGCACTAGTTAGGTAATTGTCTTAATAAAAGCTGCCATCCGCGAAAGGAAAGTGACTGTAAATAACCAGTATTTTGCTTAGTTTGACTCCCTTATTCCTACTTAGTGCATCTCATCAAGGATCTTTCATTTTGTACATCTCTTTTCTGACTGCTAAAATGGATACTGCTTGATTCATGAATAGTTGAATAAGGCTAATAAGCTCTTAAAAATAAATAAATAAAAGTCACCCTTTTGAAGACTACTTAATGATCTGGAAAATACATTACATTGAAAAAGTAAGGAGAAAACCAGTTTTTGTTCAAAAGCATATATAGTGGGTTTGGGTGTTACTTATACATTCATAAATATACACACATTTATTTTAAAAGTCTAGAAGTTAATACTGATTCTTTTTGAGTAGTGCAACTATAGGAAATCAAATTTAAGAAACACTTAAAAATTTTGGATGCCTCCTCTGGTCTAGGTACTATATTAAATTCCATATGTGTATTTTCTTGGTAAACTTTCCCATCAGCTCCATGATGTGGGTCCTACTCACTTTTCAAGTGAAGAAACTGAAGCCTAGAAAAATTAAGTAACTTGTCTAGGGTCAATATAAACACTAAGTAGAAGAACTAGCATCTGTATATTTAACACTTTTTGGTTTATTTCTCCTAAACTTTTTATGATTTATATTTACATAATCAAAAACAAAATTAAAATGTTAAATTAAGCAAGCATATTGGGACCTACAACAAATCAGACTGATACAATCTGATAGGATTTATTAATTTGAATTATTGAGTCCCTAAATTAGCTATTGCAAAACAGCGGAAGTATGGGACTTGAAAGACACTAAACCAAGCATTTGAAAATGTTAAAATATATTGAGTGTTTTCTAGTTTGTCAAGGATTTTTTTTTTTTGACCATTTACTATGGAGAACTGACTTTTTTCCTCCAGCATGGATTGCAGCTATTACTCTTTAATGAAGTGAAATATGATATATATGTTACAGGTTAATTAGCATATGATAAGGCCTAGCATTTTTATGATTAAGAATTCCTTATCCATTTTTGTTGTGGTTGCAAGTAGTTCCATGAGTTTTGTTATATGCCAGTGAGATAAATATGATTAAATGCTCAAATGAAAAGATTTCTTTGTGTGAAAATGTATAGACTGTCCCCTATGGGCATGGAGAGAGACTTTTTCTAGTATAAGAGTATATCTATAGGGCCTCCCCGGTGGCTCAGCGGTTGAGCGCTGGGTTGCGAAGCTGCCCGCAGCCTATGAGGCACCGGTTCGATCCCCGGCTGCTCCCCGGCCACTGCAGGAGGGTCCTGCATGGTGCACAGACCTCTCCTGCCGCCCGCTGCTCCCCTCAGCAGTGTACTTCGGTCCTTCTGCCTGCTTTGCTCCCCCCTCTGGCTCTGGTGAATTCTCTTACCCTCCGTGCTTCTGACTGTACCCAGTGCTTGTATAAATAAATCTTTAAAAAAAAAAAAAGAGTGTATCTATAGTTGACAACTATATTTCAGAAAGTTAGAGATAGTGAGCATACACAGTCTTCAGGAATAACATTGATAACAGAAGACAGCTGTTATGTTTTCTCATAATTATTCCAGTGTCAAAATTGACTTCATTGGCTAAACGGATTATTAATTAAGCCCATACGGCTATCCAGTATATTCTCATGGTAAGAGGATTCTGACTCCTTTTTAAATTAGCTGTTTTGCAATAGCTAATTTAGGGACTCAGTAATTCTCTCTACACACTTTCAGTGTTGTAGCAGGAAAACACAGTTACCTATAAAACTTTTGTCTAAAAGCTACTTGAGACTTCTTCCTCTGGGAGGAAATTAATTTGGGAAGACAACACATACAGATTAATGAAGAAATGCCTACCTCATCATTTTTTAAAATTATTTATATATTTTTTACATTTTACTTTATTGCATTTACATTTATTTCACATTTTACATTTATCATTGTTCATTTTTTTTTTTTTACAGTGTTTGCTTTCTTTTCTCAGGTGTAGTCCCCATAGAATTTCCACTACCAATTTACCTGTGCACCATCACCATAGTCCCTTGTGCTCTTCCTGCTCATCTCATCATTTCTGTTACTCAAATAGACCTTGTCAATAGAGAACACTAATGTTAGTGAATCACCGAATGTGTGTGTCACATGCATACACACCTATACTTTGTGAACTAGAGAACAGCAATGTATGGATAAATGGATCAAATGAAAGAAGGCCCTGTTAAGTGAATCATTCCCTTTCAGATATGTGTAAAGTTACTGAGAGAAAACAATAATGTTTCTTTCACTGAAGAAAAGTGGGAACATTTATTTTAAGATACAAATCTTCCCAACCTTTTTTTTAAAGATTTATTTATGCATACAAGAACTAGAGTGTAGGCCAGAAGTGCGAGGGTTGAGAGGATTCACCAGAGACAAGGAGGGAGGGCAGAACAGGCAGATCTACTGAAATACACTGCTGAGGGGAGCAGCAGGTGAGACAAGAGAGGGCTGCTGCACCATGTGTGTTAGTTCCCTGGCTGGGGATCAGACTCATGCCACAGTGGCTGGCAATAGCTTGATAGCACTAAGACTTTAACTCCCGTGCCACCGGAGAGGCCTCTTCCCAACCTTTTCTTCTTATTTTTGCTTTTAAAAATCGAATGAAAAGAGGGCCTCCCCAGTGATGCAGGGATTAAAGACACAGTGCTATCAAGCTGTCGCCTGCCACTGCAGCACCAAGTTCGATCCCCACCTGGCCAGGGAGCTAGCCCACATGGCGCAGCAGATCTCTCTTGTATGCTGCTCCCGTCAGCAGTGTATTCCATTCAGTCTGCCTGTTCTGCTCCCCACTCTCTGGTGAAACCTCTCACCCCTTGCATCTGTGGTCTACACCCCAGTTCTTATATGCATAAATAAATAAATCTTTTTTTTTAAATCTAGTGAAAAGAATTTAAATACTTTCATACTCTTCTGCTCACTGATCTGGGGTTAATCATGCTGCTTTCAGCCAGGTAACTTGCTATTATCAAGTGTAATACAAGAAAATTCTTTTGCTGGTTCTGTTCCTTTATTGACATCTTTAATCCTTAGGTAGGTGACTGGCCCACATCCTGGGGAATCCCCTAGTACCGGGCAAGCTGGGACAATTGGTCACCCCAATCTTGAGTGTGTGTATATTACAGTCTAAGGATAGGACCAGGGTGGGGCATAAGAATGGAGAAAACTGATGAGAATGAGAAGTCCTGAGGTGTGAAGAGAATACTTTTTCCTTTTGAAGATTGTTTACTACAGCTGAGGAAATGTGAAAATCTGTAAACCCATAAACTATGTGCTTAGTAGTGAATTGGTGACAGCTACTTTAGAGATAAGTATTAAATGGACTTCCATGTTTGATCCTGCATTCTTCAATACCCATACTAAAAGACAAGTTGGGAAATAAATGGAATACTGTAATGATTCTGAACTGTCCTTCAACACAGAAAGAACATTTTGCCTTTAGTAGGTTTTGGTTCCTGTTCTAGGTGACTTTATTTTAACAAGTGGAGATGTAAATATTTTTATTTTTAAAATATTGGTCTTTATGTAATTACTGATGATTTTCAACATTATGTCTCTATCTAAAGTGAACACTTAGACTATGACGTCCCATTACACACTGGCAGGCCAATTTTGGGCTTTACTTTTGTCTTGGTGTCCCTTAGCAAACTCCTTTCTCCGCTTAGATTTGTTCTTGGTTTCTTATCTTACAGAGAAGTGTGGGAAATGGAACTGGATAGACTCAAGAATCAGGATGGTGAAATTAATAGGAACATTATGGAAGAGACAGAGCGGGCCTGGAAGGCAGAGGTGAGAAGAGCTGATATGTTGAAGGCCTTGATTTAGGGCTTCCAAATGATACATACTTTTGGTTTCATATACAGCTAAGCCATACAAATATACCAAATAGCCATAGAACATTTATCTGTGGGTAACTCCATGTGTGTAAAATTAATAAAGTATTTGCATATGTATGTGGTTTCTTTAGATCTTATCACTAGAGAGTCGGAAAGAATTGCTGGTATTGAAATTAGAAGAAGCAGAAAAAGAGGCAGAACTGCACCTTACTTACCTTAAGTAAGTACATTTCCATTCTAGATTTTTTATGGTCTTGCAGTTTTGTGGGGTTTTTGTTTGTTTTAGTTTAGGTTTTTGAAACTCTAGGCTAGCTAGTCTGGCACTTTATCTTCACAGAAATTTCAGGGCCATCTCTGTGCAGTAGTAATTGTTCAGTGATTTCTCTTCCTGAATTCTAAACTTCCTCACTCTAACTCTTCCCCTTTACAGTTTATTGTTTTCTACTTATTTGTATAAACAGTATCTTTTATGTATCAAAGCATAACAAATATCTTAGGAGATTTGTTTTTTACCTTTTTCTACCATGTATCTGGAGGACTCCTATGGCATTTTCCGGCAGGCAAGAACGCGCTCTCTCTCTGTGATTGGTCCTTTTTCTCCAGTATTTGACTTAAAAAATGGTGGAATTAAAATGAGGCAAAGCTTAGAACCTTGGCCTTCTGAACCTGCTCTCAACTCTTCTTTCCAGACCCATTAGCCAACCACTGTTATCCTACCTCAGAGAGTTAGAAATTAGGCTTTCTTTAATTCTATCAATTACTGTTCATTTCTTAAAAGGTCAACTCCCCCAACGCTAGAGACTGTTCGTTCAAAACAGGAGTGGGAGACAAGACTGAACGGAGTTCGGATAATGAAAAAGAATGTTCGGGTAAGTGTGGTACTAGGCAATCATTGAGTCAGAGTTGATCTGTGCTTAAACAGTTGTGGTGACAGGAGGAATTTATTACATTTCCACTTAGGGCCTGTCCTTCTATTTCCCTTGTTTCCTGATACTAGATGGTGCTCCCTTTATAGAGCGGCTCATTCAACTTAGCAGTAAATAGTATTCCTTTCCTTTCACTGTTTTTCAGGACCAATTTAATAGTCATATTCAGCTAGTAAGGAATGGAGCCAAGTTGAGCAGTCTTCCTCAAATCCCTACTCCCACTTTGCCTCCACCCCCATCAGAGGTAGGTGGCACCTTTGGGGAGACTCCTTTCTGTGGTGGTGGCAAGAGCCTAGAGTCTTTCACTTCTTTATATAATGATATTGGATACTTGGTGCAAGAGTTGCTCATTGATTCCTGCTCCAATTTCCTAAACTTAGATTTTTCTTCCTTTCTCGTGCCCACCATCTCTTCTCTTCTGCAGACAGACTTCATGCTTCAGGTGTTTCAGCCCAGCCCCTCTCTGGCTCCTCGGATGCCCTTCTCCATTGGGCAGGTCACAATGCCCATGGTTATGCCCAGTGCAGATCCCCGTTCCTTGTCTTTCCCAATCCTGAACCCTTCCCTTTCCCAGCCCAACCAACCTTCCCCACCCCTTCCTGGCACCCATGGGAGAAATAGCCCTGGCTTGGGTTCCCTTGTTGGCCCCCATGGTCCACACGTGCCCCCTGCCGCCTCCATCCCGCCTCCCCCAGGCTTGGGCGGTGTTAAGGCTTCTACTGAAACTCCCCGGCCCCAACCAGTAGACAAACTGGAGAAGATCCTGGAGAAGCTGCTGACACGGTTCCCACAATGCAATAAGTAAGTATTTTTTAAGATCCATTTAAAAAAATATTCATTTGAAATGTATACGGGTTAAAAATGGGTGGTTCCATGGATATTCCCCATGAGTATAGCACAGAGTCTTTCTCAACATTTTTCTTTCTTAGGGCACAAATGACCAATATTCTTCAGCAAATCAAGACAGCACGAACCACCATGGCAGGCCTAACCATGGAGGAGCTGATCCAGTTGGTAGCTGCACGATTGGCAGAACATGAGCGGATGGCAGCAAGTACTCAGGTAAAAAAAGGTGTGGGGGGAGTTTAGTATGGGGGGAGGTGCTTAGACCTGCTGAGATGTCGGGAAAGGCAGATTTCAGAAGAATTCGGGCTGGGAAGCAGCATTGCAGTCATGGGTGTCTAGGTGCCTATTCTCTTTTTTCCTTTGCTGGACTGGGAAACAATTGATTTCGTTGTATTACATATTCTGTTATGCTGGCTCTTCCCTTATTCTGACAGTCTTTCTGCCTACAGCCACTTGGTCGGATCCGGGCCTTGTTCCCTGCTCCATTGGCCCAAATCAACACTCCAATGTTCTTGCCTTCTGCCCAAGTTTCATATCCTGGACGGTCTTCACATGTAAGACTTCTTTTCTTTGAAAACTGGCATGTTCGTTGAGTCTGGGGGGTGAGGAGGGAGTGGGTTGATAAGTGGTGCAGGAAGAAACTTTCATCTCATCAGCTGGGTTCTTGACAGCCCTAAATGGGAAAATGCAAGTACTTTTGGCAAGGATCTATATTTGAACTTTATTTCTTTTGGTGTAAAATCTTTTTGCTACATGGAATGAGTGGATGCAATCATGGGCATGAAAAGCAAGGGGACACAGGTTCCTTACTCATTTGACTTTTCTTCCTTTGCTCTGCAGGCTCCAGCCACCTGTAAGCTGTGTCTAATGTGCCAGAAACTTGTCCAACCCAGTGAGCTCCATCCAATGACATGTACCCATGTGTTACACAAGGAGGTTGGTGCTACATAGCTTCCTAATTTTCTACTCTCTTTTCTTACAGCTGAGATAATTTAATTTTGTTGAGCTGCTTTACTGTGTTGAAGCTCATCATTAAAATCTAAACAAGGAAGGCCTTCTGTAAATTGTGGCTAAAACATCAGCAGAATTCAGAATACTGGCAGCTGAGATCTCCCAGCTTCCTTTTATCTCATTTCCTGTAGGGCGCAACATACACATTACATACTAGAACACTGATAGGTCACTTTCTTGGAAAATAAACCATAAGATGTATATATCCGTTGTTTCAAATACAGCATTATCAAGAGACTTTGCTTAGATGAGAATAGGGAACCTGAATATGAGATAAGTAACTCCATTAACAAAACAGCTTAAAGATCTGCCTATTAGAAATTATTTTCACCAACTGCCAGGTTACTCCTATTTGTCTTATTATGTTACCAGGCAGAGTTAAGACTTAGCAGCAGGCATGGTTTCTTCTTTAGTCTTTGTTATGTTCATTTTGTTCTTCCAAGAGGTAAGAACTGAATTTACATGTAAATTCTTGGTGAGGGAAAATCCTAAATGAGATTTGAGGGTGATGGGTATTCAAAAATGGAAACTCAAGCTGCACTGGATACTCAACAGAAAGCATCACAGTCTTGATTAGCCAGTTGTTAATGTTGCCTATACAAAGGAACAGGTTTACCTGCTCTGAAGAGCCAATGAAATAACCTTTCTAATCGCCCATGGTAAGAGCTATCCTGACTTAGTCTACACTTAAACCTATTGAATGCTTCGTGACACTCTCTCCCCTCCAGCATTCCAGCTAACCCTGAGATGTATCTTTCTTTCTTTCTAGTGTATCAAATTCTGGGCCCAGACCAACACAAATGACGCTTGTCCTTTTTGTCCAACTCTTAAATGACGGACCTGACTGGGGAGGAAGAGGAGAAACTGATGTGAACAGGAAGCGCGGGTTCAAGATTTCTAAAACTTTATATTTATACAGTGACATATACTCATGCCATGTACATTTCTATTATATAGGTAATGTGTGTATAGAAAGTCTGTATTCAAATGTTGGTAAATGAAAGTATGTATATAATGCAGAAATGGTCTGTCCCCCTCATCTTGCAATTCCTTTGGGGGATACAGATTGTAGGTAAGATGTTTAGTTTGCCCTTGAAGTTATGATATTCTTGCCTCGGGCTGTTTTTAAATACAATATAAAAACCATCTAGGAAGCTGCTGTTGCTCTTAAGCCATCATGCTTTGATTTGGCTCAGCCTCTAGTCCATTTTCTTAAGGCTCATGTATGCAGATTTGAACCCTGGTGCTCACCTGCTGTCAAACCAGATGCCTTGCTTACTGAAAGCTTCCAGAAGCCTCAGTGTTGTTTTAGCCACTGTGCTCCAAATGGATAAAATAAGGTTGATTGAGGGGAAAAAATGTAGCCCTAACAGTTTGACTTTCATTGAATATTTTACTGTGTTAACACTCATTGTTTGTACATAGACATTAGGTTTACAGAATATTCTGTTTTACATCGGCAAAATTCAGTCCAAGAATAACAACATAACCAGGTCCCACTTCCCTCACACCCCCCACAAACTTCTGTCTACTCTACATCCTGGATAGTCATCTCTTTAGAACCTAGCACAACCTGAGGTCTTTCCTGGGCCAAGCCATCCCTTGCCATCACTGACTTGGCTTCTGATCAAGCTGTGACAGACCACCCTGTGAAATCCTCACCTCTTCTTTACGTCTAGTCTCCTAGTCTAGCTAACCCCCCTCCCCCCTGAAGGTTAAGGCAGTTGGTTCACAACCAAGTTGTTTGGTGACCTTGGGTGAGCTCCAGGCAGGCACTGGGGTGAAGAGATGTCTGTGCAAAGTTACTTTCAGAATGACCTTGGGATGTTGGGTTTTAATGTTTGAAACAAGAAAACTGGGGGACATGTATCCTGTCCTGGGAAAAATGGAGACCATAGTGATAGGAAGCGGGGAGGTTGGAGTTCAAGTTTGTAAGTCATTTTGTTTTATATAGATAGCTGTCTGGAGGTTGGATAATTTTCCACCTCGGCGTCTTGAGCACTTCAGGCTTTTGGGTTTATATCCGGGAAAGCTGTGATTCTTTTAGTGTTTTGCATCTATTCTATTCTACCTAACTCCTGCAGCAAATGGCTTCAACTCCCTTCTCCTTTGGAATCAAACAAGTGAAAACTAAGTGTTAATTAAAAAAAAAAATTAGCTTCAGGGGAAGGACAACTCATATTACTAATAATTGAACTTTTCCCGACCTGGGAGCATTCCCAAAATGCTTACCGGTATTAGCAATACTGCAGTACTTACCAGGATAGGAAAGACTTTTCCTTTCAGATCCAGTTTGTTTTGTTTTGTTACTATTTTCCTTCTTTGTCTTTTCATCCTTGCCTACCAGCTCAGGATGTATTCTTTTCTCTTCTCTTGCCTCACTTGTGCGGGTTATTGACTAGCGTAAGTTATAGGAGCTGGACTTCCTGGCCCTCCTTGGCATCTTGGTGGGCAATTGAAATGGCTGGAGTCCTCCCTTCTGTAGAGGTCACGTGGTCTGCTTTCTTTGGTTAATGAAATAAAATCTCCAGTTTGGTAGCTGTCTTGAACAGGAAATATGGCAAAGTGGAAGACCAGTTCCTTTGTTCTTTTCCTTGGGGTGGGGTATTCATTTTTTTATCCTTTAATCTTAAGATTTTCTCTCCCCTGAATTTTGCAACAGCCTTTGGGCTACTTGCAGTAATTTTTCAGTGTCCCCTGAAAACTTAGAAATTAGAAATGGGTATAAAGTGTATTCTGGGTTCTCCCTCCTCCCCCACAAAATCTTTGCAACTAAAGGAGTAGAGAGAGGGAGGATGAAGTAAGGGGGCTTCACTGCTTCCTAGGAGAAGCGGGGGAAAGCCAACTACAGCAGAAGGACAAGTGTTTAGAAGAGATGTTCATGGGAGCAGGGGCCTCTCTTTGCTCTTTTTCTTGTTCAGCATCAGTCACAAAGTAACACTTCAGTTTTGGCCACCCTTGTTCTCCCTTTTCCAACTTTGTCCACTGCCATGTAAGTAAAAGCCAGGCAGGCCAATGGGAAAGGCTCTGCATGCAGTGAGCAGAGATGGGACAGTCAATTTTATGAAGTAGAATTTAAAAATAGAGATATATGATACATATTTTTACAAGCAAGAATCTGTTGTCAAGATTTTCTTTTTTATATTTAGAGTTCATAGTTTCAGGGCAGAAAGAAAGTAAATAACTGTAAAAGGAAAAATAATTACAAGTTTTCTCTTTGAAAAATAAGACAATGGGATGTTCTAATGAAAGGGTCAAATTTTATGCTCTGGAAAGAGCTAGGAAAAGCCAGTTTTCCCTAATGAGTAAAATTATAAAGCAGAATGTGGCATTTTCATTTCACGGTAGCAATTCTGGAAGTTTATTTACACAGTCAGTTCCGAGCTGGAAGTGAACAGTCTCCATTCTTCCTGTCAGTCTGTGGTTTAGGGGGTGTTCCCAGTCAGCCAAAGCAGCACCGAGTGCAGTGGGAATGAAGAGAACCCAGATTAAAAACTGTGACTCAAAATTCTTGTTTATTGGTTTATGGCTTGTGGGCAGCTGGCTGAGGCCAGGATCTCCAGAGGCCCTCCTTGTGTTTCCCTCTCCCTCATCAGGTGGTTCGACACTCCGCAGGCCCCGTGCCTGGAAGCAGTGTGTTGACCAGATAGGAATAGGATCCGGTGGGTATACTAGGAAAATTCAGCTCTTCCTACTAACACTGGTGTCAGAGTTGACTGCTGGAACCGATAGGGAGGAAATAACCTTGGCCCCCACTATCTAGCCCAAGAACCAGCCTGGGTACCCAAGTACTTTTAGGAGTGGGGAGAACAGGATAGCGAGAAAGGACGGCCTCCGGTGAGCAGCTCTAGTGGTGAAAGAAACAAAGAAGGCCTGAAGCTGCTATCCTTTCTCCGGGCAGCCCTGATACTGAAGACGATGATGCTAGAGCCATATAGCCCTGTGCTTCCGACACTCTTGATATAATACTCTAGTGCCCCTGTGGGGTGTCTTAGCCCAGTAAATGGAGGGAACAATAAGGAGGATGAGAAGGCAATGACACTGCTCAGTATTAGGCAGAGATCTTATTAGTTCTTAAGCCGGACAGGAAGAAATCCAGGTAGAGGTATAGGGTGCTGACTCCTGTACCTGCTGAATGAATCTTCAGGATTCTGCTTTCAGGAATTAGGTAGGAGAGGTCTTCTGACTATTCCTCTTAGCACCTCAGCTACAAAGCTCTAGAGGAGTGGGAACTTGGGGAAGAGGTGAACACAAACCAGGAAGACAAAGCCCAGCCCCGCTTTATTTGCTTTCCCATAGGGCTCCTGGGGCTTTCAGAGGGTTGGGGCATTTCAGTGCTACCTGTCATATGTGGAGTGAACGGCTTGGGTACAAATAAGTGGAATTAATAAGGTAGAAATTCATCTGTTAAATGGAATTTCTTAGTGGGTACTTTTCAATTTAAGAGAGCTAAAAAAACCTTTTTGGTTAGATAATCCCTTCTTTCCATCTCATTTTGGTTAGGCTGCCCACCACAGAAAAGAAAGCATTGGGAAGCAATACCCGTCTTCTGAGATGGGATTCTGTCTTGGAGATGCCATCTAAATCTGGGACTGGCGAGTGGTCATTTTTCTGCCCTTCTAGCTTTCATCCAGGGGTTCCCTGTCTCTGTCCTCCTCCCCTTCTCCTCTTCCCGTCACCCCCATTTATACAAATATTCAATCCAATCATTTGTTATTCAGTTCAAGAGGCAGTCTTTGCACCAATGTTAGGCTCGTTTGTACAGCCCCTATCTCTAAAGCAAATAGCAAACTGTGCCTCTGCTCCCACTGACTTTGGCCAGCAGAGAAACAAGATTGGCCCCTTCCTCTGCCAGCATGTTACAGAGACAGACACTGGGTGTGATGCCACTGCTTCTGGAACTCAGGAAAGAAGAATACTTTGGGATGGAGAATCTAAAGGAATGGAGGGCAAAGGTTCAGGGCTGAAGTTTCAAGCAGCAGAATTTCCAAACTCAAGTTTGAACTGACTAAGAGTATTCCCGCCACCAGAGTGCTGCTTTCTTCCCTCTACTGTTTGCTACAGGCGCAATCCCTGCAACCCACCTTGCCAGCTTTCCTTCATTTCTGTCAAGACAGAGGCATTTGGCAGGTGAGTGAGGGTCTTGAGGTGCTTTGGTCACAGGTGCCACCTGTGTCTCCTACTTGTGACCAAAGTGAAAGTGAACCACCCAGATGTGGTCTGGGGAATCTCGATCTTCTGCCTGTGTTCCTCCTCACTTCAGCAGGGAGATGTCATCAGCAAAGTCATCGTGTTGATGGCGGAGGCAGCGGAGGCAGCGCCACTGACACACCATGAGGCAGAGTGGCAGCATGAAGAGAGCGCAGATGGCAGCCATGACATAGGCAATGGTCATGAGGGTGGATTCATCTGTCTGGGGAATGTTGTAGCCACAGTCTTCCATGTCCGGAGTGACAAAAGGACCTTCCACTGCTGCCGTCCTGAATTCATCGTGTACTAGGGAAAGGGCAAATGTGAATGGGCAACTCTCATTGTCATCTAGCAGTTTGGATTAAACCACAGAAAGAACTTCCTGATAGTGAGTCCTTGAAATTGGCCCCTGTGGAGCCTGTAGTCTCCTTGCTTGGAGATATCTGGGAGCAGGACAGTTAGCCATTGCTAGATGGAGGCATGGCTCTCCTCCCAGGCTATTTGGGAGCAACAACTCTTTCCTGTCTACCTGTCCAGCAGAAATGATACCTGTCACTCTGAGTTAACCAAAAAACCAGCCCCATAAACCCAAGTAAACTCACCTGCTACTGCTGAAATCCAGCTGCAAGACCCTGTCACCATTCTGAAGTAGCATTCAGCCTAACCAAAGGGAAGCTGACAGGGTCACTATAAACTCAGCTGGCTGCCTGCTCTTGAATATAGAGCTCCCACAGGTGCCAAGGCAGCTCTTGCTGCCCTGGATCTCCAACAGAGGTTGCAGTCCAGACAGGGGTCACCATCTCAGACAATACAAAAAAAGCACAAGTGCTGATCCCAGCTTTGCACAATATGTTGACTGAGTTGAGGCAACTGTTACTACTCCCCAGACTGACACCCCCCCCCCTCCACTCGGTAACTGCTGGACAGGGAGAACATGGACTGACCCCACACCCTCATTTCTGGTACTCTCACCATGGCAAGCGCTGACGGCAAAGCCAATTCGTTTTCGGGCCCGATCAAAGACCACGTAGAAGCCCTCCATGATAACAGCTCCCATAACAGTGCCCGTGGAGGACTGTGAGATGGCGAATTTGTAACAGTCATCTTGGGATGTGGCCACATCTTCCACTGGCCGAAGGTATTGCTAAGGATAAGCAATCGAAGAGTGAGAGCATGTCTCCCTCACTCCATCCTTTACCCATTGCTGCCTTCTATGCTTTTAGACCACTCTTCCCTTTGCCATCCTGAGCTCTGAGGAGTGGGTTTTCTAAGAGCTTTTTACCACTGGACACTCATCTGTTTTGTCTTCCAACTTCTAGAAAGGCTTGCCTGCTCACTGTCTCCCCATATGGACTTTGTTCCCTTCCTGGCATCCCACCAACTCAGGTTAGAGTTATACCTGTGGAAGGATGGTGATGCGGAAGGACTGATTGGTGACTTCACCCATTAGGTAGAGGGAGATGACTGGGAAAATGTTCCAAGGGGTGGTGCCTGCTTGCCAGCATACCAGCTGCTCCCCGAGCCAGAAACCGTCTGGAAACTTCTCCGTCTGTGTTGGGAAGAAAGGGATCACAATGAGAAAACAATCTCTTTCATCACCCCACCTCTCCCATTTTCAGAAGACATTTACTGGACCCTCTATTTGCTTTTCTGAGGAATATCCAAACTGGGAAAAGGTGAAGTGCAACCCGAGGGATAGAGGAAGAGTGCGGACAACAGAGGCCAGAAATTTATAGCAGGGGAATTGTGTGATACAGTTTTTAAGGGATCTGAGCAGAAAGATCTGAGGGTAGATCGCTTGGTGCTTGTTGAGGAATGTGACTTCAGAGACTTCCTCGGACCTTCTGTTGTCTCCTGTACCCCTGTCCTTAGTCCCACTGACCGAGGAGGCTGCCTTGATGGATTTGACAGCAGCTTCAAACACTTTCTTGGGCAGACGCAGGTTGGTGGTACCACTGTCCACAATGCTCTTGTCATAGTTGTACTAAGAGGGAGAAGAGACAGTTAAAATTGTCAAAAACCATTTTTGATGCCAGGGCTTGACCAGAATTGGAGGAGTGAGTCTGACTGCTTGGGGTCCTGCCTGAACTGACATTCTGGATTTGCCATTTCTTAGGGGTTTTCCTTGGGCAAGTTATTTAACCACTGTGCCTCAGTTTCTTCATCTTTAAAATGAGGATAACAACACTACCTACCTCAGAGAGTTACTATAAGGATTAGCTAATATGTTTGAAGTGCTTAGAATGGTGTCTAGCACATAGAGAACACTCAGTAAAAGTTTGTATTATCTTGGGCGTGCAAGGATTGAATCTTAAAAATATCTTGTGTAAGGCTTTTAACTTTTCATAGTACTTGATTCTAATTTAACATAATAATACATGCAGAATCTAGGTAGGTAGGAAGACCTACCTTAGTAATAATGGCTTAGCTGCCATTTATTGCATATTGCTGTGTGTTAGGCACTGGGAGAAACATTTTATTCATTTTCTTTGTTTTCACCATAATCTTTGGAAAAACTACCTTTACCTCTGTTTTGCAGTTGAGGAAACTGAAACGCTAAAAAGTAAATTGCCCAAGGACACATAATAGTAAATGGCAGAAGCAGAGGCCCAGGTCTTTCTGATTCCAAGCTAGACTCTTGTACTTTCTCATATCCCCCTACAAACCACTTGCTCAAGGCCATAAAGTGAGGCAGCGAGGGTCCAGATGTGCTTTTTTCATTGCATTAAGTCATGTCTCTGTGAAAGTGCTCGCCAGCCTCTGGCCCCTATCCTCAGGTCCTACGTCTCTGCCTTCACCTAACCTCATACCCCAGGGGCTGACCTCACTTTGTCACTACCGCAGACCAGCCATCCCCCCTTCTTCCTTGATCTGTTACCTCCTTGCAGTCCATTTTCAGATCCTGTCCGTTGATCTCCACCCGCACAATGATCACCTCATAATACCACTCCCGCCGGATGGGTGTGTACCAGAGACTGCCTGTGTACAGCGAGTGGTCGATGCCCCCAATGATCTAGGGAGAAAAAGGCAGGTACCAGTGTCCGGGCACAGAAAGAGCAAGCAGTGCTAACTTCTGAGGGTGGCAAGGCCCCCTACAGAGCGCCTTTCTCATCTTTCTGCTTCTCATCAAATGATGCCCCAAAGTGATTTAGTTTTTGAAATGTGTTCAGGAGAAGAGAGTTTCCGGGATTTTTAATTATTTGTTTCAGAGTCACACCCCGTGATATAAAGTTACTTAAACCTAAACTGGCACAATAAATGTTGGATGAGTGATTATTTGTTTCATAAGTTTTATTTTCTCCACTTTTTGGTGATGGAGAATCAGTCACCAGTTGTCCGGATTAATCAATAAATAGACTTTTAAGCTCCTTACATCTTGGCCTTCTGATCATCAGACTAAATAATCTAAATTTGATAGGGCTTATTTTCATTTCTTTGAATATTTTCCTAATCATTGATTCTTTCCAAGTTTATCATAGATACCTGGAGTCCTTTCTGGGACAATGCAAGGAAGAAAAGGATGGAAAAAGTGGGGTTGGGGAATATGAAGATGTTTTCTTTTGATCCTAAATATGGAGCCCAAGACTATGGTATAAGCTTAAGGGGGTGAGGTAGGTGGCTCCCTTCTCTCTATCAATGTTAGGATTGCCCCTCCTTGGACTTACTCACCATGCTCCCTCCAACTGAGGCCAGTGCTTCTGACTGGTTGAAGGGAAAGCCAGCACCACAGAGCTGCAGGGAGAAGAGGTTGGGAACGTGGGTCTGCTTTACCAAGGAGTCAAAGAAAGGCTCCAAGGAGTCATCAGGCTGTGGCAGAGACAAAGAGAAAAAAACTCACACGGAGGGCCCAAATGGAAGGAGGCCAGCTTCTTGCCTAAAGTGGAAGGCAAAAGCAAAAATTTGGGGGATAGTCCTTGGGAAAAACCATCTTAAGGTACAGAGAGTTGATGGAGAGAGGTTAACAAGTGGCTTTGGCAATAAGTAGGAAAGTTCTGATGGATCCAGAGCTCTATAAGATCTTTGATCACCATGCAACTATCTTACTCAGATTTATGAGGCCCCCTCTTATTCTCATGAAAGTAAATAGAAACCACAGCCTATTCCCGTACCTCTAACAGTGTCTGTATTTCTGTTCTCTATAGAGATGAAATTCAGACTGCAGCCCTGCCCCCCTGTTAAATAATGCTTTAAGCTGATTTGTTTCTTCCCCTTATTTCCCTCCCCCCTTTCTCCCAGCTTTGTCTCTGTGTAGCATGCAGTGTGCAGTGTGCACATATCACCTCGGGGGCTACGCTTTGTTCTCACCCTGGCGATCTCAGCATAGGCCAACCCCAGGATGCCCTCCCAGTTGGAGCCATTGATGAAGAACTTGTCTGATTCAGTGATGGCAGCGATGTTGGCACGCACGGTGACATTGGGACCATGGGGGATGCTCACCAGGTCGGTGCCCAGCTCCCCCTCCCACTTGCCCTGGGTGTAGGGCACATACACGCCCTTTCGCAGGTCCCGGTAGGTGCTGGACCTGTGGAAGGAGGAAGAGAGATGTGTTTGCACAACCACAGCAACTAGTGTAGGGCTACATCAAATCTACTCAAAAGTGCCTGACCTTATTTCAGGGGTATCCTACAAGAGAGGCTTTCAGGTTACTGGACAGAAAATCCCTAGACCCAAAACAGAATATAAAGTGATCTTGCAAACAGAGAAGGGGAGCCGTTGCTGGGGTTTGCTCTCCTGTCTCCATAGCTCATATTCCTAGATCTTCACTCAGGCCCTACAAAGAACAAGCCTAGGCTTTGTGCATTGTGCCTGTTTCTGCTGCTGCCGCTGCCGACAGGACAGCTAGCGGGCATCTCTTCCTCCCCCTGGCTCTATCAAGCTCCCAGAGAAAGGAAACCATTGACTTTTGCTGCCTTGGTACCTGGTGGTACCGTCTGAGCAGTATGAAAGTGCCAGGCGGAGTGAATGTGGCACGTCCACAGCAAGTTCTTCCAGAGAGGGAGTTGCACAAGCATCTCAGCAGAGCAGGTAGGTACACATGGTGTGAAACACTCTCATCAACACACCACACTCCACCTGTATTTAATCAGGAACCAACCAGGGCTTGTGAGATGGGGGCAGAGGTGGAACCAGGACAAGGACCTGGAATGAAAACTCTTTCTCTGCCCCTGACCATAGCTTACCCCCTGACTGCTTTCTTCTGATAGGAAAGTTGAAAGGAAGAGGACTAAGAACATGGGAGGGGTGGAGGTGGCTTTCCACATGCCTGCAAGTCTAAGAATGGGATTTAAACCTCTACTTGTGTTTTCTCACATGGAGATGCCTTGGACATGAGATGCCCTCTCACCATTGCCTGATTTCATGCTGAGAGGCTCCCAGGTTATCCCTCACTGCTGCTTCTCCCTTAAATAACCTCCCTTCCACCAGTTAGCGAAATCCAGCTGCTGCAACCCAGAGTGGCACAGGGTGGAGACATTTTAGCTTTCAAACCCAGACACTGGTGCAGGTAGTGGGTTCATATAAGGCTCTTCCTTCACTTCCTTGAACTATGCAAAACCACCAGCAGTAGCCCCTGGGTGAGAACACCGTGCAGGGAGCTGCCCTTGCTGCCTGCTCACCGAGACTTGCTGTGGTCAGAAAGCAGAATCACTGAGAGGGTGTGGGATGAATGCCCCTTGCCTCTCCGCTCAGGGAATGAGACCCCGAGATTGCTCAGAGTTTTGGTGTCGTTCCTCTTCCTTCTTTCCCTCCCACGGGAAGCTGCCCTGGCTCAGCACTGAAGCTCTGCCCACTCCCCTCCACTTACCTTTCCCCGGAGTGTACCTCCTCAGACCCCCTCTCCACTCACCTCTCCTGTCACTGTCACCTGCTTTGCCCTTCCCGTCCCCAGCAGGAAGAAAGGATCTGAAGCGCTAGTCCTCCTGCAGCCCTCCCCTCGCCCGTCTAGGCCCCGTGTGCTCGGGGAAGGGACTCACAGCTGCCGCTGGTAGTAGCGATGCAGGAAAGGGTGGGGCGCAGCCCCCACTGCAAAATTACTGCTGCCTGTATCCACCAGGATGTTAAGCTGTTAAGAGAAAAGGGAGAGAGACGTTATCCCCTGGAGACTCTGGACTCCCCACCCTCATTGTCCTTCACCCCACCGGCCACATCGCCTGCAGTATCCAGGATTAGGGTTCCATGATATAGGATTGGACAGGCTGACACCTGCTAGTACGGTGACCACAGATAGAGCATGGGGTCCTATTGCAAGCCCATACTAGGCTTAGCAGCCTGTGTCTGCTGTCTTCTCTGTAGAATCTCAGTGTTTTCTTGTGCCATCAGCCACATTATCTGAGTGTGTGTGAATGTGTGTGCGTGTGTGTCTGTGTGCGCTCATTCCTATTTCTCTCTACCATCTGATTGCCCTTACTTGTGTTTCTATTTGATTCCACCTCAGCTCTTGCCCCTTCCCCTCCTCTGCTGTTTCTCCTAGGCTGCATATCACCCAGCAGGCAGCTGGCTCATTCCCCTCCAGCTCAGAGAAGAGCTATTCTTGGAGCTGGCACTGGCAAGGGGAACTGTGAGGACCACGACAGCCTATGGGGCCCACATGTTTCTGACCCTGCCTGCCAGAATGTGGCTCCCTAAGCAGGGGTCCCCTTCTGCCTCAGAGGTGACACAGGCCTGTGAATCCTGCCAGAAATAGTGGGGAGCCAGGAGCCCAGTATGATGTCCTGGGCTCTTGGCCTTTGGCTTAGTGAATGTGGGCAGGCATCTTCTTGGTGCTCCTTGCTATGCCGTTCTTTCTAGCATCTCTTCTTGTCCTTCATCCCCCTTCTGATGCTGACCCTCCCTCCCTTAGTTCAGCACCATGTTTTGGATGCTGATTATAACCTCACAGGTTAAATGATGAAAGGCCCCGTCTCATGATAATCTGTGAGCAAAAACCACATCCACCACCTCAGCTTCTCCCTGACCTCAGGACCCTTCATTTCTAGAGCCTCTTTCAGTGCAGTGAAGTCAGCTGGTTCAGGATTTGGTGCAGGCTCTGACCTCATCATCTTCGGCAGTCACTGCTTCTCTGGGCTTCAGTTTCCTGCTTTCTGCTAGATTCTTTCCCGCCTGGGGCCCTTTCTGCTTAGTAGTACCCTGTGACTGCACCTGCCCCAGGCCCACTTTGGTCTCCTGGCCTACCCACTGCTGCCCCAGCCCTCTGACCCTGCCTCTGCCCTCCTTCCCAGCCCTAACTCTTGGCCTGGCTCCTATTTCCCTCTACTTCCCTGGTCCTCTCCAGGGTCTCTGAGAAGCCACCAGCTCCAGATGCTGAGCTTTCAGTGAATCAATAGAGCCAGAGCACAGCAGTTCAGGTTTCAATCAACCAGGTTAATGATTAAAAAGGCTGCTTCCTCCTACCCTCCCCCTTGCACCAGGACTCTGCTCCCAGCCCCAGCCTGGCTTCTTATTTACAGGGATCCCCGTCATCACTGGACCCCAAGGAAGAGTTTCCTCCACACCACAGGTTGCCAGAGCTTGGCACAGGACTACCAGGGATGTGCGTGCGTGGCTGCTGTAGAAAAACGTGACCACTTTTACACTGAAATGGGGCTTTATCTGGAATCTCCAGGCCCACCTATAACAGGCCCCTGCCAGTCTCCCCACGCCCCTCAGCTGCAAGCCACTCCCTCCCCAGCCTGCAGGCCTCAGATTCCAGTCCCTCATCACTTGAGGAAGTGGCTACCCCTTCTACCTCAAAGGGGGTCAAAGTCCAAGTAGCTTGACGTCTCCACTCCCTTCTCCCTCACTCTACTCCCCTACCAGGAATTCTGGCCACCACTGCTCTCTCTTTCCCCACCCTGCCCCACCACAGAAAAAGAGTGGAACCAAAATAAGTAGTTAAGATTCCCTCTGAGCAAATGTCTGTATGTTTGCCCTCTGCCTGTGACCTTGTTTCTGGGAGGAGTGATTTCTGCTCCTGCCTTTCACTGTTTGCCCCCCACCACTGCCATCAGTTTGGCCTTTCTCCCCTTCTAGTTCCCTGAAAGAACCGGAGCCGGGGGCGTCATAAACTGAGCCAGGTACTCATTATGAAACAGGATAGTGGAGGGCAGCCCATGAGCGGGAAAAAAGTGGGAATGGGGTGCACGCAGCCCAACCTTCTAAGCAGATGCCCTCAACTCTTTTTTCACCAAATGGGAGCTCTCAAGTGGGACCACGCTCCTCTCCCACCACCAGCCATTTCAACTGTGGCTGTACCGGCCAGTCCTTCCTGTCAGCTGTCCCTCCAAGTCAGGCGTGGACTCCACCGCACCTTGAGAGCCAATTCCTTCCTCCCCTCCTAGGTACACTGACCCTATTTTTTTTTTTTTTTTGCATCTTTCTCTACCTGTAGATAAATGTTATCCCTTTGAGAATGTGTATGCTGTAATGTATCATTTGTTTTCATCTTTTAAAATAACTTGGTTCTATAACCTATCTTAATTTTCATTCATCAGAATAGCTAATAGCTAATGGCCTGCTCTACCTTATTTATGATCCCCTTTCCTCAGGTAAATTCAACCATCATACCCCCACCCACAAATCTGGATTCTTGCTACTGGTATTTACAAATTCTTGAGTCTCTTCATTAAAAAATATCTTAATCTCACATCTGCCTCCAGCCACCCACTCTCTACTTCACAACCAAGGTTCTCAGCCAAGCTGTCTTCATTTCTTCACCTCCCACTCATCCCTCAACCCATTCTAAAACCGAGTTTCATTTCTATCCCTCCCTCCACTATAAAACAGCTCTTACTACTGTTACCAATGATTTCATGTTGCCAAATACACTGACACTTTTCACATTAGTCCTCATCTTACTTGATTTCTCTGGAGCAGTCAACACTTCTCCCTCCTGAAACACCCTTCCCTGACACCCTATCTTACCTCTGGTCCTATCTGTCCACTTTTTTTTTTTTTTTTAAGATTTATTTATTTATGCATACAAGAGCTGGGGTACAGGCCAGAGATGAGGGGGGTGAGAGGATTCACCAGAGACAGAGTGGGGAATAGAACAGGCAGATTGACTGAAATACGCTACTGAGAGGAGCAGCGGGTGAGTCAGGAGAGGTCTGCTGCTCCATGTGGGTAGCTCCCTGGATGGCCGGGGATTGAACTCATGCTGCAGAGGCTGCGGATTGCTTCATGGTGCGGTGCTTAACCCCTTGTGCCACCAAGGAGACCCTATCTGTCTACTTTGCAGGCTCACTTTGCAAGGCTTGGCCTTTGGCCCCCCTCCTCTCTCATTAGATCTCACCCACAGAGTGGCTGTCACCATCACTTCTATCCCATTGACTCCTAAGCGTGTAGGCCCAGCCTTCTCCCCACGGGGCTCCAGAAGCACATATCAAGCTGCCTTAGTGATATCTCAAATCAGGGTGTCCAAAGTGGATCTCACACGGTCTTGTCCATCTGTCTCTCCCCAGTGTTCCCTATATTAATGAGTGGTGTCGCCATCCATCTGTTCCATAAGCACTCAGAGACATCCTAGCACTTTCCTCTTTTTCACATCTCTAACCCAGGCATCAAGTCCTGTCAATTTGCCTTCTTAAAAGTCTCTTGGATTTAGTCTTTCCTTGTCATCTGCTTCCCCACCCCTAGGCAAAGCTATCCTCATGTCATCCTGGAATATCCCAGTAGCTTCTCAACTGGTCTTGGCACATCCACCTCTGAGCTCCCCACCCTGTTTTACACTGTGTCTAGAGTAATCTGTTCTGAGTGCAAAGTTGACCATGTTACCCTCCAATGTCAGTAGTTTCCCTTTGCTATTAAAATAAAAACTTAGCTCTCCTGCCTACCTGTAACTATGCAGGTGCCTTTCTTTTTCTTTCTTCTTTTCCTAATAAACATGTCCTTATACAATGTAAAAAATAAAAACTTAAACTTTAAGATTGACAAGGGCCCTTCATGGTCCGCCCAGCTTAGCTTAACCCATTCTCCCTCAAGACCTCTCCCTAGCAACCATGCTGCCTCATCTATAGTCCTCAGATCAGCCCTGTCCCTCCCCCAAAAGCTGTTGCATTGGTGACTCTGCCTAGACAGTCCTCCTCAACACCTGCATTTTTGTCTACTCACCCCCTATCAGTCTTCAGTCTGAGCTCAAAAGGGACTTCCCAGGGGAGAAAGACCGGGTCATATTCTCTTATTAAAATGCTCCCACAAGGATCTGTCAGTTCAGTCCTGAAAAGGTTTTTTCTCCAATTGCAACCTGAAGTTTTGCATGTCCTCCTGTCCCTATAGAGTTTACTTATAATACTAAATATGTCAGAATATAGAGAGAGAATTTCATCACCACCTAGCTTCTAGATTTGCTTAATATACTCTCTATATAATACCTAATATATCACACCTTACCCTTTAAGCTATCTGCTCTTTTGTCTCTACATTTCAGTTATCTGGACATAAGGTTAACATACACTTACGCTCAGAATTTAATTGTAAAACTTCAATGTAAGCTGAATAAAATGTGAAAATTGTATCCCTGCTCCCCACCAAAAAAAATTCTTCCATAGAACTTGCCACTCTCTTATCTCACGTTGAATCTTACGTCCCTGTGTATATAATTTTTTAAAATCCCTATTGTGTTCCCAGTGGGTATCACAGTGTCTGGTAATAATTATTTCTTTAATTCATTAATAATGGCTAGAGAAAGGGAAGGGGGGAAGGACTCTGCAGTGGCTCCCAAACTGTGGGTATTTTCAGGATAGTGGGGTGGCTCTATCTCAGACCTGCCTTTCCTTCACCAGGCCCGCTGGGGTGACACTGCATGGCTCTGTCTTCAGGCAGCCTGGGCACCTGGCGCCATCTTACCTCCTCCCCATCTCTCAGGTGGCAGGCTGACTCAGGAGTATCTGTAGCCATTGCCTTTAGATGCTCAGGGGATGGCAACCTAGGGTCAGGGCTCGGTCAGCGCCAATCACTTAACAAACAAATGTGCCCCTGGTGGCCTTGGAGGGATGGCAGCTTCATGGGAAGTGCTAACAAGCCCCACAGGGAAAAGCCACACCTTCCAGTTCCACTCTGCAGACAGCTCCACCAGAGCTTTCAGCT